ATCAACTGCACCAGCACTGGCACACAAATTTCACGACCTTGTAAACTTCAACTAGGATTGGCAAATGCTCACCTTGTAAATTGGAAGCCGAGCCCGTTGTTGCTTCATATTTAGGGAGGCATAAGGATTGTTGTATACGGTTAACACTTCCTGAGGATCAGTCGACCCAGATGGCTCAGTTATGCGATCCTCGAATACCAAAGGACCGGTACGTACTTTGTCCGGTCGATCATCTAAAATGGAAATTTCGTCTATAATGCTAAATTTTATCGGCCATCTATCTGCCACCTTTAACAATCTTAACCGGAGGTGCTTCTCAAATACCTGAAGTTGTCATTCGAAATCACAGAAAGAATAGCCAAAAACATCGCCTCCTTCCCCTTATAGTTTTCCACCTCCAGCCTCAATGACTCAGACCAAGACAGATAGTTCCGGATCACAGGAATTTCAGCACTATTGCATCATTACAATTTGCTGGAACTTTTCCTTATGGGACATCAAGGCTCCTGATCACGAATATGACCTTCGTTTCTCGCGCTGGCGCAAATTTCACCACTTATTGTTAGGCGCAACACCTGTTGTAACCAAATTTGCTGGTCACCTTTAGGGCGGAGTGTTTCATAAGTCCTGCTCAGCAACCAGCGCACCTTTCGTCGTGAAAGCGCCACACCGCTTCCTTGGCAGCCAAGTAACTGATTCGTGTGGTGCATATGCTTCCCCGATGCGCTCCCTCTTATCGTAATCGCTTCCTTTAACATTCATTTTGGTACCTAGCACGATTAGCACCGTTTTTCTGCTTCGCTCTCATGCTCACTCTCATTGAGAACGTGGAGAATAAGTGAGTTTCCCATCTTGATCTCAACTCCAAACTTCACCACAGTATAGGTGACTACCCATCCTGGATCAACGGACTAATTGAACTCGGTCCTTCAAACCGCCTCAATTTGATGCTTCCGCCTGCCCTTTCTTACTACACAGCGGCTCATGACTACTGTGATCTGACACATTCACAACTTTTGCCACACCAAAATTTCCTCCCCCAAACCGAGGAGCCCACATCTCTCCAAGGCTTGGTCGCTCTCTTCGATGCTAACTTAGTTGGGGGGGGCCACGCGGCGGCGCGGCAGTCTGCTCGGCATGTTCGGAAATCCGTGGGCCAGGGGGGTGGGCCAGGGGGTGTAGGGGGGTGGGGGGTGGGGGCAGTCACTTGACATGCGTGAAAAGCTGGAATGTTCGAGTTTACACTGTCTCGCTCGAGAGAGCCCAGGTGAGCAGACTGCCGCGCCGCCGCGTGGCCCCCCCCCAACTAAGTTAGCACCCTCTTTCTTTCTTCCTTGGGAATCGAGCGTGCTCTACCATTCGCGGCAGGACAATTGAGAAAAGTTCAAGTCGTACGTAAACTTCCATGAGCACCTCCTGGATCCCAAAGGCGCCAATGAATGTAATATTCGTGACTAGGAGCCTCAACGCTCCCCCTTCCAACCCCCACATCAATGTTTCAGCCAAAAAAAAAGTTATAAACAAATCACCTCCACTGAGGTTGTTATAGTGCAATGGTGCCAGAAAGTTAGAGTTTTTTTCTGCACTGGACACTCTATCGCTATGGACGCAACGAGATCGATATAGTAACTCGAAATATCTCCAAGCATGAACACTGACCAGCGTCGCAATGAATCTGAACCGAATTCCGTGGATTCACCACCGTCTCGTTCTGCGATTGGCCAATGGACCGGCTGGTATTCGGCATATTTCAATACTGAATGTTGCTTCAGTACAATTGGAGTACACGACCCAAATATCGTCTCGACCTCTGAAAAGTACTCATTTAGTGGTAAAAATCCGAAAGAAAGCTTTCATGTGGAGAAACGAAATAGAGTTCAAATAAGAAAATAGGCGTGATTGGTGTGCACACACGTAAAAGTGCACAAAACGGCTGACGTCATAGGCTTAGTAATCTCCTGCGCATTCATATTTTGTGAACTTCTTCGTTTAATTCTCTTGTCAGCTCAAAATCTTCCAATCTTCAATTATTTCTTTAGAACTATAGTCTCGGTACTGGGTGCTCGCAGACATGATTTTACTAGAGCAGAATAACAGGATCATCAGCGAGTTGTTGGATCTCAAATTCACCAACGCAAAAGAAGGGTACGCTTTGTTTGTAGTTACTCATAATTGCGAAATTGAGCTCTATTTGACTTGTACTTGTCTCAGTTTGGAGAGTGTGCTGATTTGCTCACATTTACAACCAAGGTGTATAAATATTTCAGTGGGAAACCGGACAATGTGGATGCTAAATTTGCCGATTTCGATGGTGTTGTCTACCATGCTTCGAACCCAGACGGAGACAAAACCAAGATTCGAGTACGTTTTCTCAGGGGATTTATTACCTTATTGTTCTGATAAGACCGATGAAAAAGTACTCAGATTAGTTCGAGGACGGTCATGCTTCTTTCCAGGCTAACGTTCCCTGTCCTCAATGGGACCACTCTTTTGTGTTCCGCCAGCTATCTGTCATTTGAAAGGCTTTGAATACTCATTATAGGTTTTCCCTCCTCTGACTCAAGCGCCAGAAGTTCGTCTAAATAGTTGAAATTCTCCTAAAGAAGTTCTTTTTTCACGGACCGGGATTAGATTCTTTGAGTTATCTCGTTTGTGGGTGAAAGAGTGGGGATCCCTGAGCCCAGAATTCGTGGCAATGGCGCGATTCGAAGAACACGAGAAGAACGCTAAGGCCTTGCTTTGACTGCTGCGACCGCTACCCTCCCTTTGACGAGATGTGCTCATGACTTCCCCCTTCTCGTTGCGTTGTGTACCTCCGTTGTACAGGGTCGATATCCGAGAAAATGTGGTTCTTACCTAAGTGTTTATGTTCTTTTTGCCACTTTTTCACAATGACTGGCGCTCTTTCACATTTCTTCTTTTCGAATGGAATGAACACATTTCAGGACGACTCATGCCCTTGTAAAAGTCGATGTTTGGAGCAATGCTGTGTTCATTTGCCCTTAACTTTCAGCTGAGCATCTCACTTAAGTTTTTCAAAGAGCTCCAGGAACACGGCACAGATGCGGTAAGCATACTATCTTTTCCTAATATTTAACTTACTCTTAAATCCAGCGTTTTTCAGCTTCTTCGCCGAGAGTACGGCTCATATCTGACCACTCCAGAGTCTGGGTACAATGTATCGTTGATTTTTGATCTCACCAATCTTCCTGCTGACCATAGCAGCCTCAGTAAGTATACTATGGTTTCTTAGAATTCGTTCTCTGTTGCGCATACATCTACATTTAATTACCGAAATGTTCAGTTGAGAAAGCATCTGCCTTGAAAAGGAACTGCTTTGCTTCGGTTTTCGAGAAGTATTTCGAGTTCCAAGAAGCTGGACAAGAAGGCCAGAAGAGAGCTGTTATCAATTACAGAGAAGATGAGACTATGTAAGTTCATTTTTTATTGTTGTTGAAAATTCCCGCTTAACTCCCCATTGATTTAAGGTATATTGAAGCCAAGGCTGATCGTGTTACGGTTATCTTCAGTACAATATTCAAGGATCCAGACGACGTTATCATTGGAAAAGTCTTCTTACAGGTGCTTTTTCTCCATTGTTCGATTTTGTAAGGATACTGAACTTTTGCAAGGTTGGTCGCGACCATTTCATATGGTATTTGGTAAAGTGGATACAATTTCATATTTCACATCTTTGTGATATGAGGCTCCAGCTTCTATAATTTCTCTGCCCTTTGTCGTGAAAATCCTTCCATTTAAAAATTATGTAGTGTCCTTTCACATTCAATATTTGAATGAAACTAACATACTTGAACGTTATTTTGTGCTAAGTTATTTATTGGGTACCCTAAAACAATGTACATTAGTGTCCAAAGATACGGGTGATTTGGGAGCACAAGAAGCCGCATACACCATTATTTATCACATGTTCAACAGAAATACGATCCATTGACATTGTCACACTCTTTCTCAAAAAAGGATTTGTTAGCGCTGGATTCTTTTAAGGAGGCACAAGCGCTAACTTATACTTTGGACACCCCTTTAAGACCTTTACGCTTTTTCACGTAGATCAAAGTATGCATATTGTATGCATACAATTAATACCCAGCATATTAATACTGCATTTCTGAATAGAGTTGAAAGCATGAAAATCTCTAAAATGGATCAATCACTACGGCGTAAACCTTTTCTTCTTACCCACTCAAAAAAAAAAACATATTTCAAGGAGTTCCGTGAAGGTCGTAAAGCTAGTCAAACCGCTCCAGCAGTGCTTTACTCATTGGGCGAGCCTCCTCTGGAATTACGAGATTTACCAGGCGCTCGCGTCGGAGAGAACGTTGGATACATCACATTCGGTGGGTCAGGTTTTTCATACATTAGATGTTAGAGATTGCAAGAAGATTGTTTCTTTTAAGTTCTATTTCCACGACACACCAACTAAGAAAGCACGTGACAACACCATAGATTTGATCCATACATTCAGCGATTATCTGCACTTAACCCATCAAGTGCTCACAGGTACACTCCTATCTATGTTGTTCATATTCGGTTATATCATCACCATTCGTTTGAGTTCAATTGGGGGTTTTCTCAACTTGGACTTTTCGACTGTTCTACCTCTCCGTCAATAACCACTCTGACGGTATATATCCCTTTTTTATGTGCCCGATAGACAGAACAAGATTTTTTCAAAAAAAACAGTTTATATTACTTCCTTAGCACTCATAACTTTTTTCTCGAACTTCTTAGTACCACGCTGTTCGAATGCGAATTTTGGAAGTTGTTCTCCAATCAAATGCCAATTACAGGTGTACATGCATTCGCGAATGCGGTCAAAGACGAATGATTTTCTCAAGGTGCTCAATCGTGCCCGTCCAGAAGTTAAGCTCGAAAAGAAGACGTTCAGGTAGGGACGCAGACGGTATTATTTCTGGCGCGAGCCGTAATTGCTGCGACTTAGCAAACATTTGACGTAGAAACGCACGGCGACCCATATTAATCTCAGCTGGGGAAAACCCACCAGACTTGTGGGAAAGTTGTGATGAGGAGAGACGGGCATGTGCTTGCATCGCTGCGGTCCAGTGATTCTCCTCCGTAAAATCAAAGCAGTTCCATTCACTTTGTTTGACTCACTCAACTCATTTATCTGTTTCTAATATGTGAACAAGTATGCTTTTTCTATGCCTATGCTGTTTTCAGTGGACGCTCCTATGTACCAAGCTAGACGGACCCAATCAAATCCCAACCAACGGATATCCACTGCTTTATAGAAAGTCATCTTCACTTAATATCCAGCCGTATGCCGAAGTGATCTGTAATGTCGATGCTGATAATAAATGTATTTACTTAAAAATGCACGCAATATGTACAGAAATACAACAACAACGTATGGATTGTACATGTGATGCGCTAAGATCAAATAAGAAGAAACGCTTGCTTGAACAAGAAAGCCATTTTTAAACCGTTCACAACAAAAGATCAATAAGTAGACCCACAAAGTGACAATTTTGTATGCAGTGCAAAAAAGTGAAAGTTAAGAGGCATTGGCCCTTTCTTGGCAACACACTGCACCAAGAAACGGTGCATCGGAAAAGATTTTGAAGTGCAAAAATCCGACGAAATCAGTGGGCAGTGGTAGGATTAGTTGGTTGCTACTTCGCTCCTAACAACACACGGGTACCAATAATTGCGCCCACTCCGACTAAAGCGGCAGCGCCAATACCAATCAGACTCCATCGACGGGTCACTCGCTGTCGCTCAGCTGCTTCACGTTGTATAGCATCGCGGCGGACTATATCAGCTCCGATCGTCATGAAGTTCTTCTAAAGATAATTTGTGGTGAGATCTCCATGAAACTATTAATGAATGAAATAATAGGAAACTTGACACTTAAAAAAATTATTAAAATGGGAAAAACTTGGGAGTAGTCGTGTTTATAAGGTTAGTAAAGCCGAAATGATCACTTTGCTACTATACCGTTATACAGTGCTATTACAACACGTAGAGATGTATGCGTGAACGCTCAGGTAGGGCAGAGCTTAAGCTGAATTAGTATGGTGACCGCGCTTGTGTGTAATAGCTGCAAGATAGAAGGATGCCGCAGCGAGGACATTCGGCATCGGAACACGAACGCGTGGTGGGGTAGCATATTCGTATGGGTGTTCGTCGCAACGTTAGGCCACATTTGGATGCAATGTTTACGAACATATCATAAATCGCCTTGTGGCAACGTCTTCCTTCACACACCCAATGCGACTCCCCCACTTTCTTCACAATTAGGGACGCGGTCGCGGCGAGCGCTGTCGAGTCGATGGTGCACCTGAACTGTGCGGGTAAATTTGAAAACGCTCCAACACCACAGTTCGCGGGACCGTGAACTCGCCCGCGCGCCAAATTCGTGAAACGAAGCTGGGCGAAAGCCACCCAATGCTGCCTTAACTAATGCTTAACTCAAGCAAAAAAAGGCAAATTGAAAGTCATCAAGTGCTCGAACTCAACTATCTACTAAATCTAACAAATTCCATTCTATCACTACCGTTTCTTCTATAGTTATCCCGCTCCATCATAACCGCTACCAAACACCCCGTTGGAAGTCTCTCTTAGCCTCCTCACGTCACTTTTAGATACAACTATATTAGTTCATTCAATGCAATTGTCGTGGCAGATCACTCCTCTTTCTCCTCTAGTTTCTACTCGAAATGAATGGAGTCAAATGAGGAAACCCTTAACAATCCCTTTCTAGTTCACTCGATTCATAGTTAGTTCTTCGATATACTGTTTGGGCGAGTTCTACCATCTTGATCACACAAAGTAAACGCAGAACTGTGCGGCAGTGTATAAAGAGCGAAGTGCACTGCACTACTTACTGAATAGATTTTGACTGAAAATGCAATATAGTGACAATGCAGCGTCACAACCTTCCCCTGTTCCTCTTAATAAAGAGTCAAAGATTATGACATATTAACGAGAAAAGCCATACCAAAGATAAAATATCTAAACCATGAAGACCTCATGCAAAAGAATCATGGATAATCGGTTTCTATTCCAAGACCCTATTTCCGATTTCAATGCAGAAAAATAGGTTGCCAGACAGGTTTGCACTAAGCCTTGTTTATTGTTGTGACCAGTTTTTGTTCTTTGGTGTCTAGGGTGGACAAAAATCAACTAAAATTTCACAACCAAGGACTCGCAAACTGTTAGAATTTCATAACCACAAAATAGTACAAGACTTCAGACACGTACAGAGTACAAGCTCACTTACCCAACTCCTCTCATCTTCAACCCATGTCAATCGTATCCGCTTATCGATGAACTTCGCTGTATAAGTCGCCAACTGCCGTACTTCTCGTCGAAAGTTTCGTGCATACATTCTTGCGGCTACTAATCCACCAAAGGATATCAATCCAACCTAAAATATCTCATAAGAGGTCTAAAAAGAAATTAGTGGTTAGAATCAAGTACGAAGTACTCACTAGCCGTCCGTACGACATTCCGTTTTCCATTTCGTCTGCAGTTCGACCGAATTCGTCAACAATCTACAAAACTTCGTATTATGGAAAGGCCAATCACGAAAAAAAAACCGCAAATATTGTGATGTGCAATGTACAGGAATTTCAAAAATAAAGGAATACATAAAGCTTTAAGGCTCAGAGAAGAAATTACGCTGCGAAATTCGTTGTTTCTAGAATTTCTTCACCCGCACATGGTTACATGGATATACCTAGCTACTAAAAAACTCACATCGCAATAACGGCTGAACGTCAGGTCTTCATTTTCAAGCAAGTCATCTGCAAATTCATTCAATTCGGTGCGATGCCGCCGTTCGAAAATATGAGCAACTTGCCTGAAAGCAAAACGTATGAAATATGAAGACTGAGGAAGTATACAACCTCTTAAGCTATGTTCACTTTGCAGACTTATAGAATAGCTGCGATTGATAGAAGCGTTCAAATGAACACGCCCTGCCTCTTCAATTGCATAAACTTATTCAGATGAGGAGCAGTGGGTACTAAATTCGTGGTAAGATTGAAAACTTTATCAATAATTAACAACTACTGCACTTCCACATATACCGCTTTCACAGTTACGCGGATAGTTTCATGCCTCTTGAAATTATGCAGATTAGCTAGTTGGTTTGGTTAGCTATCGATTCGACCCCAATCCTACTGTGTGGATTCAGCTTTGTTCCACACATTCCGTGTTTTTCATGATGACACGGGGCCTTCGAGTGCATGATCAGATAAGGTTAGAAAATGTTTTGAAAGAACTCGCACCTCATCATCTCGTGCTCGGGCTGTGTACCGAATGGCAGCTCCGGTTGCTCAAACCACTCCATTTTGTCTTGCTTAATTCGCCAAGCGATGTAGTCAACCTGCAACATATTCTAATTATAAGGCTTCGTGAAGAAATTATTACTCCTAACTCACCACGAATCCCTCAATCTGAAGCCTAGGGTTCTCGAAATCGGGAGCATCATTGGCTGAGTCACTCATATTCTACCTATAATATTTATTTTCTACTCTATTACACGTACACAAACAATACATTCGATACCGACGACGTCAAAACGAAAATCGATTATCGACACTAAATTGCGAATATGACTAATTTCTCGGACACGAGAACAGGAAGAAGGAAACCGGACAAGAAATCTAGGATAGTAATATGCTGTTCACAATGGAATTGACAAAATCAACGGGAAAGAAGAAGGAGGGAGATGCAAGTGATGTCAAAGCAACACTTTTAGTGTTTCGCGGTATGCTTGTTGGTTGGCCAAGCGTTAATCACCACTGCTGCCGCGATGATGAACGACAAGGCTAGCACCAAGTAGCCGCTCCTGTAGATCTGAAAACCGAACTTTCGTAACCACTACAAGCGTCAAATGTCACAAAAATCTATTTCCGATATCATGCAAAAAAAGCTCACCGCCGCCGTGTTGTCTACTCCCTTCGCTAAATCGAACCCGATGAATCGAATTCCATTCAGTGTATGGAAGATGATAGGGAAAGCAATGACGAACTGAAAAATTATTTTACAATGGCAAATAAAAACAAGACTGATAAAAAATGATGACGTGAAAAAGTAGTCATGAAACCGAACCTTGAAAGCAGAGGTGATCACCGGTGGAATGTGCCAACTACGAATGTAATCCACAAATTGTGTGAAGTTGAAAGGCAGCAAAGCAAATCCAACACCTTCAAGAAAACAGTTGATCGAATTATTTTCAATTGTGCTCTCATTTTCTCTACCCCTGGATGTTACTTCACGGGTTCGATTGGCAAGGAAATCATCAAACTACCTCCAAAAAGTAGCACACAGGCCATCGCACATCCCGTTACACGATGAGCTCCAGAAACCTAAAATGACCATGCTATCAAAATGCATACATCTCAAAGAGAGACGGTTCGTTTACTTACCACTCGCTCGAGAAAAAATGCGAACTCTCGCTTCTGGCTAAGTCACGTAAAAGTACTAGCAAAAAAAATTAAAAATCTACAAATCAGGTATAACCGAATTAGCGCGGGTCTAGAACAGAGGCGCATTAAAAGACAAATTGCTCACATCCCAAATTTGCTCGAGAAGCCCTTCGAAGCTAGGAGATCCATATCTTTGATTTTTTTTAAATATATACTGTGTGAGTTTTTGTACTGTAAGGCACAAACAAGCAAATTAAGTCAGTGGATAAGAATTCTCGGAAGAGTGAGCCTCATTGATGAAGTGGAGGAACTCTAAAAAATACGAGAATGCTCACACGCTCTAGAGGGCTCCCAGACAATACCTAACCATTTGGGCGCGGCCGCGGCGAATGCGGCCGAGTTGATTGTGCTCGCGAACCGTTTAGAAACGCATCGTAGGTTTGCCGAAATAAGGGAGGCGGTCAAGTGGCGCGGCCACATTGCCATTGGGGCGCATGGGCTGTAATTGCCAGCTAGGCGCCGCCTATATTTTGGCCGGATAACTCGTCCGGCTCATCCAACGCCGCGACCTTCTAATTGATCGGCCCAGCCAACGTCGCCGACCTCCTGATTGATCGGCCTACATTGGAGCGCGTCAGTGGAGACGCCGAACTTGCGGACATTGCCTCACCGGTCCTTTCACCCTTTCCCGTCTACTCCATTCCGACCTTTCACCCTTTCCCTTCTACTCCATTCATTCCTCATTCTCTAGGAAGCTTCACATTCTTCTCAGAGCTTCAATTTGCTGCTAGCTACTAGGAGTGACTGTATCACAATCTTTTTGGAATTGTGATACTTTCTACTTCAGTGAAGCTTGCACATAACTGGAGTTAAAAATAATGGAACGTCGTGCTTCCCGTTATTTGATTAACCTTCGGAGTTTTATCCATAGGATGGCTTGCCTTTAGCCACTCAATTGCGAAAGCTTTCAACAGCTTTTCATGGCGAATATTTAACTACTTCCTTTTTAATCGAAAAAGTCTGTATCCTTCTATTTATAAAGCGCTAACTTTGTGTGTCGGTTTGTGTATCTGTATGTGTGTGTGTGTGCGTGTGTGTGTGTGTGTGCGTGTGTATGTATGTATGTGTGTCCGTCCGCAAAATGAAGTGAGTGAGAAGGAAGCTCATGGGATAAACAAACCGCTAACAAATCGGGTAGCTTACAGGATTTGAGATATCAATGTTTTGTAGCAGGATAGTTGTGATAACACTCTTAGGGCTATATAAACACCTGCTTAGCACACTTCCGTTCATTCCACATGGTGCTGCAGTGGCAGCTGGAGGGCAGTGGAGAGAGGAAGGGAGGATGAGGAAGGGAAGCGAAAAATCTACCGTCATATCATGATTGTGTCCCTTCTACTGTTTGAAACACCATTGTGTTGCATACGCGTCACTTCCACGAGGTGTTGGTGTCACAGGAGGAAGGGACCATAGCGGAGGATAGAAAGCTTGCGCAGTAAAGGAAAGGTCCCGGCGGGTTGACGGGGGACTAATCTGTAGTTAAGATATAATGAAGTTACTGCCCATTTTTGTGGATTTGTTCGGGAGTTCATTCTACTTTTGCCGTTTGGATACTAGTGCAGAACGTTGGGTTTCTTGCCTCGCTATTATCTTCAAGTAGGAAACTGGCCCAGCTTCGATGGGAAACTTCGGCTCTATACAAGTGGGGTAGGCATGCCCAAGTTTTCACGCATGTAAAGTGACTGCCCTTACTTCCCCCAAGCCCCTAGATTGGCTGCACTCCTCCTGTTTCACGAAGTTCTTCGGTTTTGACAGTTATCTTAGGCCGGACTGCAAGTCGCCGTCGGACGACACAGACAAGCTATGTCAAGTGTCAGGTGGGGCATTGCGGCACAAGAGAAGCAAGCTTTCAGTTGATCGAACACATGGCTTGCGCATGAAGGTAACATAGGGAGTATGAAAATGAATGTTTGTCGTGGTTCTGAACACTTCGGGCGATGCCTCTCTCTCTCTCCCCCCCCCTGTCAGGTCATTGTCTGATGTGTCTTAAAACGTAAAGGAGGAACGCATCAACAATGCAACGAACAACCGTTAATACAGGGAAGCACGACGTTCCATTATTTTAACTCCAGTTATGGTGCAAGCTTCACTGAAGTAGAAAGTATCACAATTCCAAAAAGATTGTGATACAGTCACTCCTAGTAGCTAGCAGCAAATTGAAGCTCTGAGAAGAATGTGAAGCTTCCTAGAGAATGAGGAATGAATGGAGTAGAAGGGAAAGGGTGAAAGGTCGGAATGGAGAGTAGACGGGAAAGGGGTGAAAGGACGGTTGAGGCAATGTCCGCAATTCGGCGTCTCCACTGACGCGCTCCAATGTAGGCCGATCAATCAGGAGGTCGCGACGTTGGCTGGGCCGATCAATTAGAAGGTCGCGGCGTTGGATGAGCCGGACGAGTTATCCGGCCAAAATATAGGCGGCGCCTAGCTGGCAATTACAGCCCATGCGCCCCAATGGCAATGTGGCCGCGCCACTTGATTGATACCGCCTCCCACACAGTGCGTATGTCTGGTAGTGCGCGGGACTTATCAGACTCGACCGCGTTTTGCCACCCACGGGCTGGAGAAAAGCTGCCGGGGTCGGGCCGGGCGCGCAAGTTATGGTTAATAGGGTTGTTGGAGAGGCCGGCTCTTAGAGTTTGCTCCTCATTTACCCCCCACCCGCCCCCGCCCCACCCCCCATGGCTCCTCTCTCGCCACCGCATTCCTTACAAGGCAATGTTTTGTCGAGTTTTGACAGGGGTCACTGCACCGCGGTGGAGTATCAGGGACGAAATTTATCTGTTATATGGGAGCGCTATCACGATCCTCGAAATCCCAAGGTTTTGCTGGTACCTACCACTACAGGGTATAGCCAGATTACTCTCGTTTGATACTTATTTTGGGCGTCCGTGAAATTCCAGTTTCCTCTGAAAAAGTTTATGTGTAATTTAAGCAAACAGAAATACTGACCATCCAGGTTAGCTGAGGCTTATAAACGGTAAGGCATTTGGTGCGCAAGGGGCGTCCAAGAGCCTTCTGACGCTGAAGATACGCCCATCCCCACTCCTGAATAGGTGTCTTGACGTTCGCGACGAACCATCGTGCTGGCGATCAAACGTGATGTCATCAATTGACGTGGAGTCACACGACAGAGAACTTTGCCCATCAACATTTTTAGTCTAAAATGATACATGATTAGGCAATTTTTAAAGCGTTTAAGGCCTCAGTTTACGAATATCTCGAAATGCGATCGAAAATGACCGTCATGTAGATTCGACAAATTCATCGATTCTGAAACGGAGATTTGAAAGATATCGAATGGAATTGAACTGCCTGCTGCGATCCGTAACAACATGAAGTTTATGAAGCTATTAAAGATTGATATCTTGCTATTAATAGAGCAACATGACTAGTTGAGAGTGAGAGGAATAAACAGCTGTGGGTTTTTTCGTTAGGTGGGGGGGGCATCATGATGCAGTTTCTCGGTGAACTCGAACATTCCAGCTTTTCACGCATGTCAAGTGACTGCCCTCACCCCCCCCTCCCCCCCTAGACTGGCTACACTCCCCCTGGCTCGGAGTTACCCTAGCTTTTCGAAAAAAAAACTGCATCACGATGCCCGCTGACTGGAATAGACCCTACAGCTAATCCTGATCGCTTCGACATTCAAATGCTAATTGGCCTCAGTTTTTTCATATGGCTTACTGACATAGTAGCTACTCCACATATTGGATACCTGCTTCTCCTCTTGATGGTTTCCACAAAACTTGGAAGGGTTTAAGTTCCTATTTACGAAATCTCAAACTTATCCCAGGTCGGGTTATCCAAAGGACGCTTGAGAGGAACGAGCGAAAAAGTACTGCAGTGCAGAGGCGAATGCGCGTAGAGGATACGCAAAGTAAACGTGCAGACTTCTGCGACCCCAGTCCTCCTCCTACATCTCCTTCGAGAGTGATGGCGCGGAGAAAGACGGAAAGAAAAAGAAACCGTGTCGAGATGTCACGAACTCAATGCAGTATATGAGCATTCGGAGTTCATCAAGCATTTTTGGAATCGCCATGTACCCTATTTCCACCCAGATCGTATATCTGACTTATTTGGCTACAAATGCGTAACAAAAAACAGGGTTCAGTATGATGAATAAAAATGAGGCATAATGATAAATAAAAATGAGCGCATAACACCATGTCCATGAGGCATGGTGTTGTGCATGGGGGTGCAGTCTGTAGACAGGCCCCTGAACACAACCTGAACGAAGCCTACGGAAAGGGGCAAACGTCGGAGCGAACGAAAAATGCGTGCGACCTCGCAGTTCCTCTTCTCCTCTGAAATTAGTCCCAAAACTGCGCGTTCCCGCCGTAACCCCGACGCTTGGGGTTGCCCCTCCGCCCTGCATCACACCGCGCCTAAAAGCGTACTCCGCTCATGGACCAAACTAATAGGGAAACGTGGAATTGACTGAAGATTACTGGTGATAGGAGAACTTCAAACTATTTCTTTGAACGTCAAGCCTTGAGGATGGTTTGGTGGCATTGAGTAAAATAAGATGAAAGTGAAAATGATCGCCAAATGAGATGAAA